CTTTCCCTATGCTAAATATGATGTTGATACAAACAGACAAGGCAAATTATTAAATTTTCAACTAGACTATTAATGAGTAATAGTACCTGACTTTGGTATTTTTCCCTTCAAAAATAAGGCTAGTTGAAAACTCAGTGGTCTAAATTTTTACCTGTGCCTTCAAAAATTTTATAAGTATACATAATAGCACACAAAATAGCTTTGAGTCAGTGTAATATGAAGGTCATTCACAGAAGCACAGAAAGCAGTTACAGTGCAGTCACTGAACGCGAGCACCTAAATACATTTCTGTCTCGCATGGGTGTTTGGATCTCACCTTCCATCTACGGCAGTCTCCCTAATGCAGAGTCACTACTGCACATATGATTTTAAGTCCTGCTTGTGTATTTTCAGTAAAGCATCCTCATACTCACCGTAAAGGGCTTTGCAGCACCTTGCTCATCTCTGCTTGAGATAATCTTCGCATTTTTTCTTGTCTCCCTCAAACGCTCTATTGACGGAGGCTTTATAAATATCACATAGGGCTTAAATTCTAGTGTCCTTAAGTGCTTCACTGTCTGCAATGAAGAAAATAAGTTTTCTTACATTTCTTCATAATGTCATGAGTAAGTTTTATAACAAAACTGAATTTTCTTTCTAAGGAGAAAATTCCTTAAAATTATTTCCTAATTAAGGTTAGCAGGTCTTTCAATATATTGTTGTTCAATCAGTTGTTGACAATTACATGTGATAGACACCTCTCAAAAGATGGAGAATGTAACTTGTCTTTAAAAATGCTTTGAAATATGCCATAATTAATACTGAAGAGAAGCAGCTAAAAATACCAGAAAACTAGTTTTCAGATCTCATACCCCAAAGATGCTATGAGTTAACTTTCTTTACACGAAAGTCTTCCAACCATCCTGTTTAAGCCTCTTTCTGATCTCAGGTTGAGGTCTCCCTCCTCTTTCATTCTGCCCTTCAGAGCCCCCTACAAAGGGCAAGCCCCCTGCTTTTCACGAGCTCGTCCGCACTGCCTCTGGGTAACGAGGAGAATGCTGTAGGCTGCGCCTCTGCGGGGCGTCTGTGGTGAGACAGGGGAGTGACTGCTTCACCCACTGGCACTCAGTCCACGTGACATGAGTTCCCAGGGTGCCAGGCAAGCTCTACCTGGCGACTTGTACCTGGTACAGTTCCTGTGAGATGCCCGTGGCTCTTGCCAGGCAGTTTACACTTCTAGAATATTTACAGAACCAAAATCAACGAAAGAGGACTGAGAACCAAAATGTCCATTGTCAAAAATGATGAACACTTATAACGCATACATGAAATACATTATACATATAATGCAACGTAGTTTTAAATACAAAACACATAGAAGAAATATCTAAGAGACATTATACTTGGCAAACACTGAATCTAAATAAGAGTTACAAACACCAATGTCGAGGCTTCCCCGACCCGTTTCCTAATAACAACATGGGCTTCTTTTCAGCAGAAACTTCTCAACTGACATTTAAATGCTTTTGTCACCTCAGGAAAGCCACCTATATGCCAAAAGTGAGTAGATTTCAGATTTACCCCATACTGAAATGCTCAAATGTGGTAGATTACATGGGCTTGAAGGGTGTTGAATAGGTCACTGTTCACTTACATGAGGCTGAACGTCCAACAAACAAACTTTGTTTTTAGCTAGGACAGACCGAACTGAGTCTATACTTGTGCCGTAATAGTTGTTTTTATATTCACCATATTCAATAAACCTGCAGAAATTAGAATCATTTGTGAATTAAATATGGCACACATAATTCATATATAAAAGATGTTTTTGCTGAACATGTAATTTTTTAAACTGCTTTTAATAAAATAACTAGGTCCAAGTACTCCATAATGTCAATTTAAAAAAATCTTCTATTTTATTTTTTCAAATCAGTAACACTTGCTTGTATTACACTTAAGCAGAAAAAAAGTACTTTAGTCCAGCAGGCCTCTAATGTTTTCCATCACCTCTTTTTCAGAACTAATGCAATGCAATAAAACAGTGAATAAGCCAAACAATAAAAACTACTGAAATTTCACTGCACATGAAAGAACAACCAAGCTCAGCTTTAGAACTCGAGGAGGACTAGCTGGTGGCTAACGCAAGCAGGACAGCTGAGAACGTGCTACAAAAACTCAATCACTGTGCCAAACACGAAGAAAGCATTTCGATGTTTCAATAAAGTCCCACAATCCCGTCTTAGAACACACATTGCTCCCTGATACCCTAAAATATCCATGCTTCGGCAAATGGAAAACCAGGGACTGGGAGACTTAGTGCTTGCTAGAGGATATGGTACAAGCAAGATGATTAACATTATTTTGGTTTTTTGAAGAGCCAATGAGAGAGAGGGAGGTACATGGAAAAGACTGGAACTAGGGATCTATTACACAGTTATTAGTTACTAAAATAAAGTTCTACCTAAATTCTATGTTAAGACTCAATTACAGGGGTAGGACGATCTCACAATAATACACTAGCAAAATAATCCCGACACATTCAATTTACCAGACACACAACAGCTCTAGGTTATTAAAAGATTACAGGCAAAGATGGGTAATAACCACTAACTGAATTATCTTTTTATCAGTTTCAAATATTATTATAAAAATGAAAATTCATTTCAAACGGAAGGGAACCCTCAGTTGTCTACAACTAGACATATGGGCACATGTTTAAAAACAATAGTTCTACAAAGATTCTAAAAGAAGTCCACATACTTGTTATTTTGTACATCGGTCTCAAACAAATGCTTGGAAATGAAGACATATTCAACACCATCACTCTCCTGGCTTCTTCTTGGTCTGGTGGTGTCTGTGATTTAATTAAAAAGAGCTCAGAAAAGTCTGCATCAGCCACCCTAAGTAAAATACTAAAAAAGAAATGATCATATATTTGATTTAAGGACTTTTCTTAAATAAGATTTTAAAACTTAAAAAGCAAATTAGCTAATAAAATACAGGAATCCCATTAATTCAGTTTTTCCACTGATATTAAAGTTATATTGATTGGAAGATGGATTCAAAATTAAGTTGCATTATGTTTATGCTATTAATTATTCTGAAGGGGCTTTAATATGTTAATTAAACAAAAATGGTATTTCAACCCTTGAGGAAAAACTCCTTTCTTTGGCAAGCAAGTCTACTACTGCCCACTAGGTGGAAAGGTAAACTCTAAAATTATTTTACTATTTTCTGCACAGGGCACATGGTGTATGCCATCAATGCTTTGTTTTCCCAATCAAAGTCAAAGACTTCTATATGCTATTCATTTCTCCTTTGCAAAATCATAAACATCTTCTTGAAATACAAGTGAACTTCTAAACTTTCAGCAATTTTGCCTAATTATTTGCTACTGAATTATAATGGGGCAGAAAATAACTTTAAAAACAAAATGAAAACCCTAAGGAACGGCAGGCTGATTTGGCACGAGAAAAACTGACTACAGTCCATCCTTCCGGCTGATTACAACTAAAACCTCTGGACCAAAAACATCTATTTTTGTTTTGAGCACTTTGAAAATAAAAAAAGCAGGTAGGGGCTTCCCTGGTGGCGCAGTGGTTGAGAGTCCGCCTGCTAATGTAGGGGATGCGGGTTCGTGCCCCAGTCCGGGAAGATCCCACATGCCGCGGAGCGGCTGGGCCCGTGAGCCATGGCTGCTGAGCCTGCGCGTCCGGAGCCTGTGCTCCGCAACGGGAGAGGCCACAACAGGGAGAGGCCCGCGTACCGCAAAAAAAA